ATCTTCTCTCCCTCCGGCCTCCCACCAGACTAGAAGCTTCTAAATATAGATCGTATATCTTCATAGAATATCATGTAAAAAGCCCTCATCGACTTCTGCATATACCTCTGGAAGTCTCATTACTGCTACTTTGTTGTTGGTTTCTGATAAATTTTCTATTGGGTTTAGGAAGTTTCCTTCTATTCTTATTTTTAGAAGCAGTGATATAATGTAGTAGTTAAGTGCATAGATTTTTTTTTGGCCACAGCACAAGATGTAGAACCTTAGTTCTGCAGCCAGGTATCGAACGTGTGTCCCCTGCATTTGAAGCACTGAGTCTTAACCAGTGGACCACCAGGTAAGTCCCATGAGCATAGATTTTTGTGCCTGGTATTGTAGGTTCAAATCCTGACTCTTCCACTTTCTTAGATAGGTGATCCTCAGTAAGTCATTTAGTTTCCTTGTGTCTAGCTCTCCCTTGTATGAAATGGAGCTACCCCAGGACTGTGAGGGTAAAATTAGTTCATAAGGGTAGGGCACTTAAAACAGTGTTGGCACTTAAAACAGTGCTTGGCACATACTGTACCCTAGAACATTATATTATTATTTTATATTTTGAGTTTTCATTATGATGGCTTTTAAGTTCTACATGATTTTTTTTTAAAAATCTACTTGTATAATTTTATAGATAATGTCCTTTATTTTTGTAATTTTGGGGAGAGTTAAGTTTCTAAATAATTGCAGTTTCCTTGTACTCCTGGGATAAAATCCATTTGTTGCTGATGATTTTTTCAAGTACAGAACTAAATTGAATTTACTATTGTTTTTGCCTGCTTTGCAAAATGTTTTTCTTTAATTACTATGGAAGAATTTGAATAATATGGGAATGATTCTTTGAACAACGAAAATAACTCTGCCCAATCTGTTTTGGGGGATAGGGGAATTGAGAGGGACAAAATTTTTTTTGTCCCTCCCCACCCTGAGACGCATAAATCTATAGAAGCATTTTAATTTTTTCAGTTGTTGCCCTCTTTAAGTTTCTACTTCTGTGTAAATTTTGGTGATACATATCTGGAAGTCATCTTTTTTACTGGACTGACAGTGGCATAAAGTTGCACTTCGTATTCTATAAAGTTCTTTTACTCTTTTGTACATGTAGTTAGAGCTCTGTTTCATCCATAATGTTTTACATTTTGGTTTCCTTTCAGTTTTTCTTTTGTGATTGCCATGTTGATTTTGTTTTTCTTTTGAACTCTACTTTTTCTTGAGTATATATTTTCATATGTCCTTTCACTGCCTCAAGTTGGAGAGACTTTTCATTAGCCTCATTTCTCTCTTTTTTTAAATTACTGAGTGATTTTGAGTCCTGATACTTGTCCCAAGATAGGGAAAGTGACTTTTCCTTTAATTGTTCTATAAGCTATTTGCATGCTATTAAATTATCTGTTTAGATCTGGAACTAGAAGATGAGTTCTAAATTTTCATTGCTAGTATGCTATGCAGGAGTAAAGTAAAGGAGCAGCTCAGCATTTTACTAATCTGGTTGAAAACTTTCCACCCAGAGCCCCCTTTTTTCTTTTTTGTTCGGCTTTTATATGAGTCCAGTGAAGGCTCTTTCCACATGCACTACCTATTGCAAATAGCTTTATTGTAAAAGAACTGAGTATGGAAAACCCTTCAGTCCCCAAGACTTTATTTTACCTTGGCAACTCCAAATTGAGAAAAGAACGTATCCTGAGATGTTTGAGAAAACATTCAGTTATATGAAACATCCACCAGAGACTTTTTATGCTTCCAGGAAACCTGCTTATTTGTGTGTGGGAAAACGTTGGCTATAGTTTATTTCTTGTTTGACATCACAAAGTCCACCTGTGCTGTTTTTTAAAGGGCAAGAAACCATTCATTCAGAGCTTCTATTATTTGCTACACATTTTTGAAAGATAGTATTCCTGGAATAAGTGTTGAAAGCTTTTAGTTATTCCACATGGGTTCTGCTTCATTCCTGAGTCCACAGTGCAGGTAAAGAATAACAGCAGTGTGATAGAGCTTGTAATTTATTCTTAAAAATCAGACAAAATTTATGCCCAGGAGATAGTTCAGATGATCAGATGTGGTGGTGAACATACTAGGAGCTGGACATTTACCCTCTTATCTCTTACACAAAAATTATTCTACAGGTATATTCTGCATCTCAAACCCTGGTAATTTTCCTTCTAAGTAGGAAAGGTCAGGAGATGTTGGGTGCTGACAAGTTGTTGAGTATTCCATGTTGGAAGACATTTCTCTTAAGTTGACCTCTTGGAGTGCTACAAAGGATACTCTAGGTGTTTAAGGACAAGTTGTGAACACCTACAGGGCAGCTCTTTCTGTATAGAAAATTAAAAACAACCCCCCTACCCCTAACATTAGGATGTGTTCTAGCCTGATGTGGCTTTATGTAACACTTGTCCAAGGGGGATAATGGGAAGGTATTATGACATCAGCTTTTTCCAAGTACCTAATGGTACAAGTATCTGACCCAGATAGTGTAGACTGATTTACTCCTTGCTGCACCAGAACAGTCTTCCCACTAATATATGCATAAGGCCAATGGGTTGTACTTTGCCCAGTTGGATGCCCTGTAGGATGGATTCATTTTCCCTTTTAAGACATAGGAACACCTTACATGAAAACGGTAAATATTTGGCGTCCCTAATGCTTTTCAGATCAGTGACTCTTGGTTAGGAATTTCTAGCTGACTGAAAATGTAATGTTTTTCAGGTCACTGAATTCAGTGACTTAAATATTTCTCAAGATGTACATACAGTTGGCATTTTATGATATCAGGCTTCTCCCCCAAGTTTCAGTTGCATTGTCTTGTAAATAGATGATGTATTTACAAGATATTCAGTTTTCCAACTTTGTGCCATATAGATTGTGGATGGAGAGGCACAGAGCCAACAGTCGCACAAGTTTCAATACAATGAGATGAATGGATACAGTAACCACAGAACAACATGCATTCTCCTAAGACTAAATAAGGAGTGGCTGCATGTTCAGGGCTACAGGGTGCATAGGTAAATACTCATCCACCAGCATGTGTGCATTATACTTTGATTCCCAGTTGGGTAAGATTGAAAAATGCTATATCCCATCTTTGAGACTGTGTGGTTGCCCACGGAAGGAGACAGAACAATGCAATTACACTATACCTGTAGTGACCCTGGCAAGTCAGTATGATTTCACAAAAAGGATATTAGTGAAACCTCTAGTTGGTATTCAGGCTGTGTTTGCAATGAGCAAAAATTGATGACACCCAAGCTCTCAATGGGAAACCACGTTGCTGGTGCCCCTAGGAGTCCAGGGGTGTGCACCCTAGTCCAGGGGCCATTCACAAAGAAGGTGATGGTGGCAGCTGCTGTAGTGCTAGAGTTAAAGCCACGGACGTGTGTTCTCTAAGCTGTGCGTGCTAGCCATGGTCAACATTGGTCCCAGCAAGGAACACTGAAATAATGAGAGAGAAGGAGTCATTTAAAGACTTTCAAAAGAGAACTGTTAGAGGAACGCTAAATTCACCTCTTCTTGGGGTTCCCTGAGGTTTCCATTGAGAGTGTATATATATGGGATATTTGAACTGTAGAATCAGCAACAGCTGGACAATTTCCCCAAAATCTACAAGAATAAGAGAAGTTGCACATCTTGTTGGGGGCCTCTGAGCAATACTCTGCATAAAGTAAGAGTTAGAAATATCTTATATTGGGGCAGAGCTAAAGATATGCTTCACCTTCCTACTCCATACAAGAAGTTATCATGTCCTGGCCTGTGATTAATACCAAGGGCAAAGCAGTCTTCGACAAGCCACCTGGTCTGAATCTCCAGATTCTGAAACACCCTTTTCTCTCTTGAGTCATGAGTGGGTCATCACTAAGTATGTTGCTTCTGAAGGAAGTCAGGAAGTTTGCTTGGACTGCCATAGCGAAGTACCACAGATGGTAGCTTAATCAACAGAAACGTGATTTTTCAGTTAAGGAGTAGAAAGTTTGAGATCAAGGTGTCAGCAGAGTTGATTTCTCAAGCCTCTCTCCTGGCCTTATAGATGGGCATCTCCTCCTATCTTTACATTCAGTTCATGTCCTAATTTCCTGTTCTTACACAGTGGCATTGAAGTAGGATGTGCCCCCAGTGACCTCTTTTATCCTTTATTATCAGTTTAAAGGCTCTGTCTCTAAATAAAATCTCATTGTGAAGTCCTGGGATTTAGAAGGACCTCAGCACAGAGATTTGCAGGGAACACAGTTTAGGCCATACTATAATTTTATCCCTCTCCCTGAACCTGTTCCTCTTACAATCTATTTCTAGAAAACAATCTTATTTTAGTTGCTCAGATCAATAACCATGGAGTCATCCTTAACCAACATCCAATTCATTAGCAAATCATGTTGGACATGTCTTCAAAATACGTGTATCTTCTCATCACCTCCATCCACCGTCATTTCGTATCTGGAACACTTCAGTAGCTTCTTCAGCTCTCTACTTCTACTCCTGTCCACCCTTAGACTGTTCTCAACAGAGCAACCAGAGCAAACTTTTAAAGTATTATGTTATGGAGTGAAACATAGACCTTACAGAAACAGGTTTTTTGGTTGCTTTTATATCTGATAGCTAATAAACCTTTGAACATGTGGCAAGAGGGAAGAAAAGGTAAGATCGTGTCACTTTTCAGTCCCCATACCCTCCTGTGTTATTTGTGATATCCACAGCCCTTATGGCCCAAAGTGTGCACCCCCTCTTTTAAGGCCTTTGATTCCTGATGTTTCATCTATCAGGGTAGCCACTGCCTTAACTGATCACTTCCTGTCTCTGCCTTCCCTTTCATAGTCCCACTGCCACCTATCCCCTTCTCTCTCTCCTTTTCTTTCTCCTGACTCACTACTATGTTCTATGTATTGTCTCCTCTGACTTGAAGTTAAGCTTCATGGGGCAGCTTCATTTTCTTCACTACAGTATCTGCCAGACTAGAACAATTACATAATAGGCACTCAACATACTGCGGGTACACGGTAGCTTTGAGGCTGAAAAGAGAGGAATGTGTGGAAAAGATTACTTTTCTGCTCAGCAGCCAGAGCTCGGGCTTTGACTTCAGGGAGACTCACTTCAAGGAAGGCTAGGCTCACTTCAAGGAAAGATTGGTCCCTCTTTCCGCCGTAAGTCCCTTCCTCAGGCCCCACCTCTTCTAGGGCTCTCCGCACATTGGCGGATCTCTGCGCCCTTTCGCCCTGCCAACCAACGATAGGACAAAACTGGGCGAGAGGCGGAGCCAGAGCTCCCACAGATCAGTGGGCTGGCGAGGGGTCTGGAGGACTCCAGCCTCTCGAGCACAGAGGTGCAGAAACCTCCCGATGCCTAGAAAGACCGGACGTTTAGGGTGGGAGTTAATGGGGCATCAGTGACGTAGTTCCTTCTCCGCTTTGTTCCAAGACGTGGGTCGGGAGCTTTTGGTGAGGGGTATGTGGCAGCCGGTGTGGGGTTTGGGCCGGTTCTGGGAGCAGGAGGGGCACACAGGCCCGGGGCCAGGCCTGCTTCACCGCTGCCAGCTGCGGAGACGGAGGCGCGGCAGTTCAAGGGGTCGTTGTGGGGCCCCCCTCCCCTTGTTCGGCGCTGGCCCTTTGTCTTGAGTCTTCTCCCACGCTGCTCACTTCGGACTGGGCTGACAGTAGAGACTAAACGGTATCATCCCCGCTGCTAGCCATGGGACCAACCTGGTAATAGCGGTCCGAGTCCCGCCCAGGCTCCGGAGGCCTCCCCAACACTACGTATTTGATTCAGGTCACCAGTATAATCCCTGATGTGTTCCTTGGGAGAAAACGGACCCAGAGAGGAGGGCAGAGCCTTGCCCAAGGTTACTTATTCATTCATTCATTCAACAAATACTTAGCACCAACTAATAGTGTATTAGATCTGGGGATTACAGTTGTGTACAAGGCAGAACTATATTTTGGTATGGAAGAAATGGAACAAGCTTTAAGAGTTAGACGCACGGTCTGGGAATCTGAAGGCGAAAAGACAAAACCAGTTTTGAGTCCTATCGATCCTGAGAGATAGGTAATCATAAGAAATTTTCCGTCTAGCATTCCATCTAGCTTTAGCCTTATTTCTTCCTGTCTTTAAAGACACTTAACTGAGCAAAGTTTCCCTCATCTCTTTTCTGCAAACTTTTGTTGGAAAGTTGGATTTCAGAGAATTTCTCAGTTCGAATTTATTTTTCAGTTAGAGAAGAATATGGAGACTTATGATATCAACAGAACAGTTGAAAAGGAGCGACTGTGGTATGATGGAATGAGGATTTCCTTCGGACACAGAAAACTTATCTCTTACTATACATACAGCCTTCAGAAAGTCATTCAATCTCTGGGAACTTCATTTCTTCATCTTTAAAATGGGAATGATCATCCTTACTGCTCGTAGTTCAGTAGGAAGGGAAGTGACCCAGGGATGGGACATTGCCCTGAGTGTCTGCTTGCAATTGAGGTCTTAGAATACTCAGTCATTTCTATGTGTTTACAGTGATCCAAGACCCCACTAGGAACTTTTTCACCAAACCCAAAGAAGAGATGAGGCAAGATCTGTGCTGGGCAGAGATCCTTTGGAGTGAGGCAACTGTACACAGACATGAAAGTGAACCATTTTCTTCTCTTCAGCAGGTGAGATCTTTATTGTGATATTAATTAGTTTGGGGAATGGGAATCCTACCTGCCAGAGAATGTGGGGACCAGGGCTGAAAGGGAGCGTTTCTGAAGAAAAACAGTAGTGAGAGGAGGCCCTCTAGATCCTGAGTAGTAGAATTTTGGAATGGAGGAAGGGTGATGTAGTGGAACTCCAATTTGGGTGTCAGGAGACTTTAACTTGAGTCTTAGCTCTCCTCTAAGTTCCAGTTTCCCCATCTCAAAATTTTTATGAGACTAGGTGGTCTGCAAGTTTCCTCCCAAATCTGACATTCTGAGAATCTCTGAACAGTCAGACGAAGTCAGTCTCTTAGGGAATTTAAGCCCTTGGATGGCTCTGTTGAGACAGAACTACCAAGAATGTCAGTATTGTCAAGGTATTTAGACAATATGAAGTACCAAAGGGATGAACTAGTGGAGGGATGGAGGTGGTCATGTGTAGAGGGTGCACTTCTCACCATCGTACACCCAGATAAAATTGGCTAGCATCCTGAACTTATTGAGTATTTTGAATCAAACATTTATTGAGCCCTCTGTGCCAGGCACTGTGTGGGATACACATAGAATATCATGGGCCCTTTTCTCTGTAGGCTTAGAGCTTAAAGTGTACATGTGAAGAGGAGGGATGCAGACATACACACAAGGAATTACAGTATAAGGCAACTCAATATTACAGATTTATTATGGCATTTTTTTAAGTGCAGAAATTTTTATATGGTCAAATCTATTAGCTTTTTTTCAGCCTTTGTTTTATGCGTAAGGCCTAGACCTTTCTCTCTCTGAGATCAAGGTATTTCCTTCTAGTTCTTTTTTTTTTTTTCTTACAATTTTTACATTTCACTCATCTGTTTCTCTTGAATTTATTTATTTTCAGGTATTGCCTCTTATTCATCACTCCACTGTAGCTAATCAGTAACCAAAGACATGTGACTCAAAAGGACCTGAAAGTCTGAGGATCCTGGTGAATTAGAGGAATGCAATCTCACTAGGTAAAATCTCTGTCTCTATTGGAATAGAACTTGCTCTTTGTGGGTTCCTCACAGCCTAAAATGAATGGTACTCTTGAGATTAAGACACTCACCCATCAGACTCAGGCATTGTGGGTCAGAGACCTGTGGAGCCTCTTTGGTCCTGTTCCACTTGCTGGTTGCCTAAGGTTGTAGTTTTCTGCTCAGTTGCCTGGATACCCCTAGTAATGTGCTGTCCTTATCATCTTATCTGTCCCTTGTACTCCTTTAGCCAACACCCCATCTCTACTGTCAGGGAATTCTTCCAGAATTTCTGAGCAAATTTCCCATCTATTTGGGCAGAGGAAAAATAGTTAGGTTTTCTTTTGATCAAACTCTCCTTGAACTAGTGCTCCCTACTGTAGTGATAAGTCTTGCCTTTTCCTCAGGTCCTCCAGAACCACCCTGAGCTTCCTTACTGCACAACCTTGCACATTTCTCTTTCTCCCTCCCTGCCCTTTAACCAAAACCTCTATTTTAGTAAGCTTATATTCTCATGACTTCCTCTGTCCTCTGTATCTTATTCTCAAGTTTGTATTCCTGACATACTCTTTTTCTTCCTCTTATCTAAAGTGTTTCCCCACATTCTCATCTTTCTTTTTTTTTTTTCTTTTTTTGACTTGAACCATTTTTAAAGTCTTTATTGAATTTGTTACAATATTGTTTCTATTGTTTATGTTCTGGTTTTTAGTCCCAAAGCATTTGGGACCTTAGCTCCCCAACCAGAGTTAGAATCGCACCCCCTACATTGAAAGGCGAAATCTTCACTTCTGGACTGCCAGGAAAGTCCTTCTCATCTTTCTTAGTGATATTATCATTCTCAATATTCAGATCTGGATCTGATGATCCAGAGTTCTTTCCTTTAGTCATCCTCTGTATCCAGTCTGATATATGCATATGGTTTCCTGGAAATAGCTGGACTTATTTTCTCTCCTGTCATTATTCTGGACCAGGGTCTTGCTCTCTCAGACATCTGTGTATTCATTTAGCAAACATTCATTCAGCACCAAGAAAGTGGCAGGCCCTCTGATGGTCACCCATGCTGCATCCCTAAATTCCCAACTCATTTTCCTTCCTCCATTATTTGTTTCTACTCTAATCCATCTGGGCTAATCTTCCTAAAGCATTTCTTTCCTAATTTCACTTTTGGATAGGGTGATATAAAATTTATTGTCTAAATTGGGATACTTTTGTAAATGAGTGGTGGTGGTGGTGGTTTAGTCGCTAAGTCGTGTCCGACTCTTGCGACCCCATGGACTGTAGCCTGCCAGGCTCCTCTGTTCATGGGATTTTCCCATGGACAAGAATACTGGAATGGATTGCCATTTCCTTCTCCAGGAAATCTTCTCGACCCAGGGATTGAACCCAGGTCTCCTGCATTGCAGGCAGATTCTTTACCGACTCAGCTATGAGGGAAGCCCAAATGAATGGGGGCACTATTAATAATGATGCTATAAAAAAAAAAAAGTAAAGAATAATGGTGCTGGAATACAAGGTATAAACCAGGACTGTTCTGGGAAAACCAGGGTGTATGATTACCTACTTCTAGGTGGCAAGTTTTAGATACTTTGTTTTTAATTTTCTCAATTTACTTCTCATGGAATACGCCATTGCCTCTTATGTTTTCCACTTCATGAAACAGAAACATGAATGTGCTGGGGGTGGAGGGAGGTCTGGTACTAGAAGAAATGAATGGCATTGCTTGAAAAACTATACTCTTGGTAAGTGAGAATGAGAAGGAAAGTAACGAGAGAGGAGAGTAGCAAGGTAGAAAAATTAACATAGAAAATGGAAAGGGAGCTAAGGGTAGATTTCACTCTTGTGTTTAGAACTTTTTTCCCATTGATTGTCAGATCGTAACCATATATTTTGCCCTGTAATTTCAGTGTTCTGGCTGGTATCACTTCAGGTAACTTGATTGTTTCATTCCTTCATTTGTTCATTCAGGAACAACAGAAATTTTGAGTGCTTGGTATGTGCCTGGGACTGTGCTAGGAATACGATAATGAACAAAATGTATAAAAATCCCTGCCTTCATGAAGTTATGGGATAGTGTAACCACCCAATTGTTTTCAGTACATCAACCCTGTGCCAGATTCCTTTTGAGAAAACAGTTCTTGCTTATCCTCAGGTTCAGCCAAAGTTCTGCCTTTCTTTTTAAACTTTATTTTTATTTATTTATTTGTTTATTTTGGCTGTACTGTGTGGCATATGGGATCTTAGTTCACTGACCAGGGATCAAACCCATACCCTCTGCAGTGGAAGTGCAGATTCTTAATCACTGGACCACCAGGGACATCCCATTTCTGCCTTTTTAAAGCACCCTTCCCCAAGCATCCCAAGCCCTAGTATTCACTGCATCTCCTAGACCCCTTCATCTCCTGATTGGGTGCACTATAAATTTGTGATTGGTTCTAATAGTGTATTACCATTATGCCAGTGTAAGTTCCTTAAATGTAGGTATGATATTGCATGCTTATATTAGTCTTCTTGGGCAGCCATAACAAAATTTCACAGACTGGGTGGCTTAAGCGGTAGACATTTATCTTCTCACAGTTCTGGAGGATAGAAGTCCAAGATCAAGGTGACTGACTATTTTTGGTTTTTGATGAGGACTCTTTTCCTGGCTTGTAGATGGCTACCTTCATGCTGTGTGCTCACATGGCTTCCCTCGGTTTGTGCCTGTGGTAGGGAGGGGGCAGGAGTGCAAGTGCAAGTGGTAGGTCTTCTTGTATGGACACATTAATCCTGTTGGATCAGGGCCCCACCCTTATAACCTGCTTTAGTCTTAATTACCCCTTTAGAAGTCACATCTCCAAATATAGACACATTGGGGGCTTGGGATTATACATATGAATTACTTTGGGATACAGTCAATGTGTAACAGTCTTTTTTTTTTTTTTTTTGGCATTCAATATGGAGTTGTGTAAATACCTGGCTACTAATGTTTTTCCTGAGCACACCTTTCTGGAAGGCTGCAAGACATATTTCCATAATAGCCTTTAAGGGTAAAATAGATACTGCACTAGCTAACTGGGAAGTATTGGATCAGCCATGCCTAGAAGTGGGGTCTCCAGGGGCTGGCTTCAAGGCACTGTCTTATTCTGAATTTCTAAATTACTTTATTCTAGTAATTACGAAAATCTGTTCCTCTAAGTGAAAGTTGCTTAGTTGTGTCCGACTCTTTGCAACCCCATGTACTATTCAGCCCATGGAATTATCCAGGCCAGAATACTGGAGTGGGTAGCCTTTTCCTTCTCCAGGGGATCTTCACAACCCAGGAATTGAACCCAGGTCTCTCACAATGCAGATGGGCTCTTTACCAGCTGAGCCACAAGAGAAGCCCAAGAATAGTGGAGTGGGTAGCCTATCCCTTCTTCAGTGGATCTTCTTGACCCAGGAATCGAACCAGGATTTCTTGCATTACAGGCCGGTTCTTTACCAACTGAGCTATCAGGGAAGCCCCATTCCTCTAAAGTCATTTCCTTACTTTTCATAAATAATATTGTAGAAAGGAAAATAATTTAACAGTAGTACAGTTTAGCAGAGGACAATTTGCCAGCAAAATGGGAGGCCTTCATAACAGCAAATACATAAACTTATCCACCTGGTCATCCATCCATTCATTCATACAAACAGTTTCACTTTTATGCAACGGTGCTTTTTAAAAAGCTCTGTGTGAGATCCAGAACAGAGATATGTACATGGTAGAGTGTTCAATAATTGCTAGTTTAAGAAATGTATGAAGAAAAGAGAAAGTTTCAGAGAAGATTAAAAGTGGAAAAGAAGCTGAGAAAAAGCCATCAACTTTCTCAGAACTCTGGAGGTAGCTTCACTAGCTGTCCTGTTCTGCTCTGCAGTCCCCTGACTACTTCTAACTGGCTTCCTCCACCTGCTGACTCCTGTTTGATTAGGAGGGTGTAAGCAGCTGGTGTGAGTGTGCTCAGGCTCCTGCCAAGTATCCTTGTCTCCTACCATTTTCTGTGCCTGCCCTTCTTGTCTTGCACACAAGTCTGTGTACATGTGCCTGTGTATCATATCAGTGGCACCAATACACTTCTGAGATGTGAACTCCAGCCTTCACAGTTCTTTTCTTGCTGGCCTTGAGCACTCACCATTGGATATGTCCCTCCTGCAGAGAGCCTGACTCTGTTTATCACAAAGCTATGAGATAATGAAAATTAGTCAAACTTTTAAGTCTTTATTGAATTTGTTACAATATTGCTTCTGTTTTATGTTTTGGTTTTTTGTCTGCAAGGCATGTGGGATCTTAACTCCCTGACAAAGGATTGAACCTGCACCCCCTTCAGTGGAAGCCAAAGTTTTAAGCACTGAACTGCCAGGGAAGCCCCCCATCAAATTTTTTGAAAATCAGTAGGCAGTACTGCAAAACTGTCGTTCCTTCTGACCCAGTAACTCACTTATATCCTAGGAATATATTTCAGTAAGAAGAAAACTTTTATGTGTCTAGAGTGATCATGATAGCATTATTGATTGTAGTTAAACCTCAGGGAACAACAGAAACATCTGACACTAGCAAAATTATGGGTAAATTGTAATGAGTTTAATTGGTGGTGCATTATGTAGTCAAAAAATAATAATGAAGTGGAAGTGAAAGTGTTAGTCACTCAGTCGTGTCCAATTCTTTGTGACCCCATGGATTGTAGCCTGCTAGACTCCTCTGTCCATGGAATTCTCCAAGCAAGAATGCTGAAGTGGGTAGCCATTCCTTTCTCCAGGGGATCTTCCTGACCCAAGGATCAAACCTGGGTCCTGCATTGCAGGCAGATTCTTTACCATTTGAGCCACCAGGGAGTTAATTGCAATATGAAAAATACTTATAAAAAACTAAGAATGCAAAATTGTATGTATTGTATATTTACAACTACCATTATGAGTATGGACAAGTCTGAGAAGGAATATAGTAAAAGGAGAATTAGTGATGTGTTAGTATCGTGGAGTCAGCTTTCAGTTTTCTTTTA